ATGTACTTATCACGTACATTCATGGTCATGATTCGGATGACTTCATACGAACTTAAATGAAATAATACTTTTTTTTGTCTTCCTTTAATTATCTAATAACTTCTAACATATAAGTAATATTACATACTTGAAAGAAATTATCTCGATTTTGTTGTTGTAATGTTTGTGAAAAAACACAAAATTCTTTAAGAAATAACATAAGATCTTTTCGTTTTTCATCTAATAAATTATCATCTTTTAATGTTGCAAATAATTGACTAAGAAATTTTGGATCTTCCTAAAAAAAAAAAAGAAATTAAAAATAAAAGCAAAAAAAAAGACAAAATTCTTTTTTTTTACATAAAGTAATGTAACAATTTCAACTTTATTAAAAAATAAAAAACTATTCATTGTTGATAATAAATTTTCTTCAAATAAACTTGGTATTGGTAAAATTGCATCTTGTATATATTGTATTCTATATGTTTGATGAATTTTTCCTAATAATTCTTGATTACCAATTGGTATAACTTCTTTAAATGTTGCTTTATTATTTAAAAATTCTCTATGATTTCGTTTTGTTTTTATTGTTAATGATGGTTCATATTCTAAACAACCAATTATATCCATAATAAATTCATCATTAAATAATATTTCAAATAATGTTGATTTATTTAAATAAAATATTGAACGTATTATTTCATATAATTGATGTAATGAATCAATATTTTCTAAATCTTCACATATATGAAATAGATCAATTAATTTTCGTATATAATTTCCTGATTCAATTGCACGTGCTAATAAATCTCGTCGTGTTGTATCACGAACTTTATCTGGTGTAAATAAATTACATATATCATGTAATTGTGATAATTCAACTGTTGGTAAACTTATTGTTGATAATAAATAATTTTCATTTGATTCACCACAATCATCATCGGATTCATAAATAGTTGAATCATTTGTTAAATTATTTGCATTTGTTAAAAATGATGATGAATCTTTTCCTTGAACCTATATATATATATATGTTTTATTATTTAAGAAAAAACAAAAAAAAAAAGAATCATATTTACATCACAGATATTTTCCCATATATCATCACAACCAGCTTTTTCTTGAAAACTTAATGCTAAATCATATTTTTCACCTTCGGACCAAACAATTAAAGTTTCCTACAAATAAACAATTCTAATTCATTTTGTTTTATATATATTTAATTAAAACAAACTTGTTGTTTTTGATAATTTGTATGTAATTGAATTTTTGATTCAAGTAATATTGAACCATCAATTTCTGATTTAACAATAATTGAATAACTTGTATTAGATAATGTTGGTGATAGACATGTAACAAAACCAGTACCACGATCATCCCATTGTCGTTCTTCATTTAATGTATATAATTTAACACGAGTTCGATTATTTATTGGACGTGTTGATGAAGAACTCATTATCTATAATAAAAAAACAAAACAAAACAAAATCAATTAAATTTGATTAACTAATTTATATTACTAATTTTTTTTTCTTTCTATTCTGTAAGATTAATCAAAGAAAGAGAAGAAGAAAAAAAAAAAAAGAAGAATTACTGGCATCTGTCATATAGAGAAAAAGAATGAAAAAAGAACGAAACGAATAAACAATAATAATAAGTAATATTAACCAATCAAAGTTAAATACATTACCTTCTTTTTGTAATTATTTTATTATTATTAATAGAATAAAATTTGTAAATAAAGTTATTTCAAAATTTAATAAATAAATAAAATAATTATTTCAATTTTATTATATAGATGGCGTTATATATCGAAGTGAAAAAAATTTCAATTTTTATTAACGAAAAGAAGAGATGATCTTTTTAAAATCTTTACTTTTTAATAAAAGAACTGATTCAAACGAGAGAACATCACAGTACCATTTTGTTTTTCAAGACGAAGGACTTTCATGTGTCCGGCTTGCAGAACGATATTTTTATATTAATCATTGATAAGGATACAAACTAATCTGTAGGTTGTTAAGCATTGCAGATGTACTATTTATATAAAAATCATTTACAATCTAAAATGTAACCATTATAAACAAATGGACAATGAATAGGGATAAGATCTTATTAGATTTCTAATATGAACGAATTGTCGTGCTGATAAAAGTGTGGAGTAAATATCGATCCAGCTGAGCTAGATAAGCACTAGTCGATAGTATGACATTTATTTTTCTAGCTACTTATTGATAATAGTGGAAAATCATGATGAGTTTTCCTATTAGATCATAGCCAATTAGATAAGTTAAATGTCTTGCAGATGATGTTCTCTCATTTAGATTGATGATTAGGAGATCTTTTTTATTTATGTTTCTCATAAGATCAATAAAAATAAATAGTTATTTAGCAAACTTTTCAAAAGACATAACTATATTCTTTTTTCAGCAGATTCACTTCGGAAATGGTCTTTATATCTTAATCTGAAGTAGATATTGCATATATATTTCAAAAAAGGAAAAACCGAGACAGAAATTTTATCAATTAATACTTTATTTTCAAAAATGTCTTTCATAATGAATTTAGACAAAACAAAAAATTTGCAAGAGTTTCCATAAGATATTTCAAACTTATAAAATTTCTGTTATTTTTCTCTTGATATCATTTGAGAAATTCTAAAAGTTCATACGGCTATATCAAATTATTATACAATTTAATCTACGTGATAAAAGAAAACTCTTCATTATAAAGAGTACAAATATGTTAAAGTTATACAAAAAAAGAAATATAATACAAAATAAGAATGATAAAGTTTGACGAAAAAAAAACAGTACAAATATGGAATGATTAAGAATAACAATAATTGAGATTTTCAAAAAATTGAACAACGAATCAATAATGTACTAAAAGTCATAAAAATCAGAAGTATTAATGATGAATGTAAATTATTTGAGCCAAGCTAAAACAAAAAAAAAATTTTTAAATAATAAAAAAATAAATATTTAAAATCTACATACAACAACATATCGATTGCATCGATCTCCTTGACAGCATTCAACACATGCCCAATCTTCATACCAATTACGTGTACAAATACTTGCCAAACCATAAAGAACTAAATTTAATATATATCTATTTTTTTTTGTTTTGCATTTGTCAAATATCTACTTACGACGAGTACATGCATCTCGTGTATCACAACCTTTTGATATATAATGACGACGTTCAAGACGTGGTGTCCTAAAAATGAATCATTTTTATTTTATTTTAATTGATTAATCATTACCATTCATGAGGTGTTGTATAAAGAATTAAAGTTGCACATGTATCTTCATATCTTTGACACATACGAACAGTTTTTATACATTTATCATCATTTCCTTCTTGTTGTTCACATACATAACATTCAAGTCCATTTGTAACTAAATCGAAAAAAAAGAAAAATTATGAAAATAAAAAAAAAAAAAAAACTAATTTTAATTTACCTGAGAGAAAATTAAATATTAAAAGAAAAGATATACAAATAAAATTCATGATATTTTGTAGTGAATTTACAAGGACAAATAGAATCGAACACTTCACAATATACGATAAACTTCAAAAGAATAAAAAAAAAAGTGATTGGTTGTTTTGAGATGTATAAAATGAACTTATAATGGAAAGATGGCATGAGTTGTTTATCGTTTTACAAAGGAATAACTTCAGCATTTATAATTAACATCGATTGTGATTCATCCTTAGTTTCATAACACACCTTCACATACGATTAGTACATTTAACATAACAATAAGTATGAAGATAAGATAAAGGTAGACTATTAGGAGTATATACTCATATTCAAGGGATTCATACTCGTACTTGTTCAATTCTGAGGGTCTCATTCGAATCGTTATTCAATGTTGTCGAGTCGGTTTGTGTCTATATATACAAAGAGTTGTACTTGTGCAGAGTACTATCATCAAAAGACAGCTCATAATCAGTTGCGTTTCTTAAAATTTTAAATTTGTTAGAAACGGATGTTTAATCAACATGTTCTGCTCTCTTTCAGTATGCCCTTACTGGTACTCAACACTTCGATCGAGAACGATACTTCACTATGTGTCTTAGAGGTGGTGCGAAGAAGTCGAAGAAGAGGGATATCCAAAAATCAGAGAAATTAGTCTGATTATATTTTTCCAAAATCGAAGAAAACTGCTTAGTAATCTTTCTAAATTAGAAGAAAATCTGAGCCCAAATTTTCGAAGCAGGGGAAGGAAATACTCTCCCCCATGCCCCCGCTCGTGCCATCCCTGATGTGTCCTACTGCTTATATTGAAGCACTATTTTGGACATGAATTTAGAATATGCGAAACTGAAGAAATTCAATTTTTGTGTTACGTTTTAGACAATAGAAGTAAGAGAAGAGGATGATATATTTATAAATGGTTAATTGACAATAGGAAAAAAAATCAAATTTGAAAGAAAAAAATAGCTTTCTTTTCAATCTATAAACATGTAGGACACATCTTTTTTCTACTACATTAACTTTTAATACCGATTTGAAAAATAAAAAATTATAAATATTTTATTTCAGTGTATTGTCTATGTAAAATACAATTATTCCACTTTATTCCAAATGATTATTTAATTTTATAGAGCAACTTTTTGCATAGTTTTTTCTTATTGTCATAAGAAAAAAAAATCGATTAAATTAATCGTATATATAGAAACTTTATTTGGTTCCGAATATTTTCTTAAGACAATTCATGATTATAGCATTTATTTTTATGATGAAACCTTTTTATAATACGTTTTATTCTCATGTGAATAAAGAACATCACACCACATCATTCGTAGAAGAATAAAAAAAATCATTAAAGTAAATAAGTAATTTATATTGTACACGTCATTCATTATAGACTTGATGAGAGTCCTTTGACATTTTTGTATGATTGATGAACATAATCAACCAATGAAAAAGTTGTTTTGTTTTTACATTCATTTTATTTCACCTTGTCTACCGTAGTAATAAAAAAAAAAAGTATCTTGAATATCACAAAATGGGAAATACCGATTCAAAAGTTGATTTTCGTTCAGCTATTGGTCAATTAATATCTCATAGTCAGGTAAAATATATTAATTAAACATAAATAATAAATTAAATATATATATTTATTTTCTATTATTATTAAAGCAACTTGAAGCAAAAGATGCATCATTTTGGGATCAATTTTGGTCGGAGAAAATTTCTAATATTCAAGATATATTTACTTTAGTACCAGCAAGAGAAATTCGATCATTACGAGATGAATTACCATCAAATTTAGCAATATTTTGTAATAAAGTTGTTGATCGTTTACAATTAGCTGCAGAAAATTCATGTCAAACACAACGAGATCAAGCAGCTGGTTAGAGAATTTTTTTTATTTGCAAAAATTTTTTTATCTTTCTTTTTTGTTATTTATAGCAATTAATTGTATTCGATTATTAACTCGTATTTTACCATATATATTTGAAGAACCAGAATGGCGTGGTTTTTTTTGGTCTTATACACCTATAGGACAACAACAAACAACATCAAATGGAGTAAGAAGATAATATAAATGCAAAAAAAAATGAATTTAATATATTTCAAATAAGATAATATTTTGTTTTCTAATTTATCTATAGGAACATATTCATAAACCACCATTAGCTGAACGACTTCTTCGAATATTAGCAGTAAATGAAAAATGATCAAAAAAAAATTTTTTCGAATAATTAATTTTGTGTTATTTTTAAGGATCTATTATTTTGTCCAGATTTTACAGTTTCTTCAAAGAAGAGAAAAGGACCGGTAAAAACAAAAAAAAAGTTTTAATAAAAGTAAAAAAAAAAATTATTATAGGATCATCCAGAAGATATACATACAATTGATAGTTGTGAATATATTTGGGAAATTGGTGTTGGATTTTCTCAAACACCTGTACATACACCAAGCAATGATAGAAATCGAACAGAAATTCTTAAACTTTTACTTACTTGTTTTTCAGAAACAATATATATGAATCCATCGAGTAAATATTTATTTGTAAAGTTTAAAATACTTAACATTAGTTCAATATGAACAAAATCTAATAAATCAATAGTTAGAGTGATGCATTTAAAGCTCATTAGGTTATGAAATTTCAATTGTATTGTCCCATCTATGAAACCTTACTAGTCCTATCGATCATCAATTTACTGTAAGTGGATAACCATGAAGTTATGGTAGTGACCATCAGGTTGATCCTAGGCTTTAACAGAGTGTGAGTTCGAGATTGGCCTGATGGGCCATATTCTAAAAGTAACAGTCAATTATGACTTGCTATTATAAGATCATTATTAAGGTTGTCTATGAAGTGTTTCTAATAAACTTTGAAGTGACTTTCAGGTTTAGACTAAAAACTTCGTCGAAATTAGCAGTACGGTTTGGGTCCGAACCTGAATTTTAAATATGTTGAAAGCGATAGGCTCTATCTTAGATCTAATATTCGTTTAATAATTTTTTTTTCCTAATTTTCTAGTTGAACTACAATCGTATCCCAATAAATGGTTAGCTTATTTCACATCCAGTCATAATCGGTAAACTAATTATTATATAAAAAAAAAGAAATTTTATCATAAAACTTTGTTTTTTTTTTCCTAGACAAACATTACCTTTATTTACATCATTAATAAATATAATATTTTCTTATGATCCTGTTGGTTATTTACCATATAATTATCTTTTATTTACTGATACACGTGAACCTCTAGTCGAAGTTGCTGCTCAATTATTATGTGTAACACTTGATAATTTTTCATCATCATCATCATCATCAACAACAATAGATCAAGTTCCATCATCACCAACGAATAAAACTTCAATAGGAGATGATGGTTCAAATTTATTTATTAATTATTTATCACGTATTCATCGAGATGATGTAAGATTTTGTTTGAAGTGATGACGACATAATATTTAGTTAGTAAAATGAATAAAATGATCAGTTAGTTAATAATAAATCTGATTTGTTAAGAGATTTAAAGAGTAGTAATTTTATTCATTAAGACTTAATTAAATCAAAGAGTAAGCATTCATTTCACTTTTTTTTCTTCTTTTCTTTCTATCATGTATTTATTACATGTGCTATTCTTTTCATCCGATTTCAATTTAGAGTGTACGAGTAGAAAAAAAGATGGATTTAGTATAAGTTTCTTACTATAAAAGTGATGTATCATATGAAAAGGTTATGAAAGAAAATTACAAACTAAATTGAAAGGAAAGATCTTGTCGAAAGAAACTAAAAAATCAAAATAATGAGTTAATCAGACATACTGTGGATGGAATCGAAGCATCGATTTGGAATGAATGGTAAAAATATTACACGAACTATACAGAAAATAGAAGAACAGTTTATTACAGATGTAACAAAGCCAACTATCATCGATAGAAATCTGCAAAACCAAGTTTTTCTTTATTCTCGTCCCGATAACTTTTTTGCTTAGTAGTCCCAGTTTCGGTACCAAGTCTACAATTGATTTTCGTACATCTCTTGTCATGAGCCTTACTGTAGAGCAAGTATTTTTCTTCTATATCATACAGAGAAATAAAAAAGGGTTACTTCCTATTGAGTACATATGGCATGAAATTTTGCTGATAAAATCTAATATTTTGCATTGACCAAATTTGAATTTTTTATTGGTATAAAATGTATTATTTTTTAAAAACATGATCTAAACGGCATCAAAAATATAAAAAATTTCTAAAACAACTTCTGCAAATTTTGTCAGTTTTTCAAAAAAGTGATGACCGGGGGAGGAGGGGTAGCTTCGCGAAGGTGCCCCTACTCCCCCTCAGGGATAAGCCATATCTCGGAAAAAGTTCTATACAAAAAAAAATATTTTATGAATATGATCACGTGATCAGTAGACTTGACCCCTCCCCCTATCTGATCAACAGTGTGGATGAACAGATGAAAATAAAATTGATAGTCTCCTCGCTCCTCACAAACTGTGGCAGACTCCAGTCTAAAACCATCGTATGCTATTTATTAATAATATCTTATACATGTTAATTCTGCAAGAATTATGCTAACAGTTTTTACTCCTATTTTATATATAATATAAACTGATCGTTTGTATATTTATTTTACTGGCCATCTTAAATCTTAGGCTTGATTCTTCATTCTAAATCATAAAAAAAGAAACATAGGAAATATTTACTTTTTAGGATTTTAGTATATTATTAAAAGGTTTTTGTCGATTATTAAATAATCCACTTATTCAAACTTATTTACCTGGTTCTTGTAAAAAAATTGGATTTTATCAAGAATTATTAATTTTATTTTGGAAATTTTGTGATCGTAATAAGGTTTGATTTATTGATAAACATATTTTTAATAATTCATGTCTTTTTATTTTTTTTTCTAATCTATTAATTTAATAGAAATTTTTATATTATGTTTTAAAATCTAGTGAAATACTGGATATAATTATACCAATACTTTATTTTCTTAATGATTCTCGTACGGATTCATGTAAGTTAATTCATAATCATATTTATATTTTTCAATGATAAAGCATAACCACAAAAATTAAATTCTTTATTTAGCTAAAATTGGTTTAATGCATATTGGTATATTTATATTACTTTTACTTAGTGGTGAAAGAAATTTTGGTGTACGTTTAAATAAACCTTATGTTACACGATTACCAATGAATTTACCTATATTTACTGGAACTCATGCTGATTTATTGATTATTGTATGAAGAAAAAAAAAAACTAAATCTTTATTGAAAAGAATAGAAAAAAAAATTTTTTTTTCTTTTTTTTAAAGGTTTTTCATAAAATAATTGTTTCAGCAAATCAACGTTTACAACCATTATATGATTGTTTATTAACAATAATTGTTAATATTTCACCATATCTTAAAAGTTTATCTATGGTATCAAGTAATAAATTAATTCATTTACTTGAGGTAATGAATAAAAAAAAAATATTATTTAAATAGATATAAAATAATAAATATTTGAATTTATATATATATCTATAGGCATTTAGTACTCCATGGTTTCTTTTTGCTGCACCGGATAATCATAATCTTCTTTTTTTTCTTCTTGAAGCATTTAATAATCTTATTCAATATCAATTTGATGGTAAAATACAAAAAAAAAAAAGAAATTAAAATGAATCTTCTTTTTTTTTTGTCTTTATTTAGGCAATGCTAATCTTATTTATTCAATAATTCGTAAACGACAAGTATTTTTTTCTTTAAGTACTCTACCTACTGATGCACAAACAATAGCTAAATATGGTACAAAATCTAATAATTCAATTTTATCATTAAAATCAAGTTCAAATATATTAGAACAAAAACAAAATATTTTTGAAACTAATTCAATATCAAATACAGATGATGAATCAACAGTAAATAGAGAAGTTATACAACAATCCACAATAGAAACTATCAATAATCCAATGATAACAAGTTTAGCAGAAACACCATGTAAGAAAAACAAAAACATTTAAAAATAATTAACAAGTTGTTAGCACAATCTTTGCAAAATTAAACTGTGAAAAACGATTGATCTACATATTGTAGCGTCTAAAAGTTATTATACACTTAATCGAAGGTCTAGAGAGAGAACGATCAGAATACTAAAGGTCGGCGAGCAGCTAATGATGAAGATTGATTCTTTAGAACTAGAGCTCTCTTTTAATTCAGTTAAAGTATATGGCATGTTATCAGTAAATAAGTTCATACAGTGAGGACTCAAAAAAAACCATGTACATTTTTGTTTTTACACATAAACGAATAATAAGGATACTTTGAAAATTTTCTCTCATATTGGACTTTGTAGAGCTTTTTTCGTTGATCATTTTGGTAAAAAAATGTTTTTGATTTTCATTGAGTAATGACGATGTTATAGTCAAAATACTAAACACTGTAATACATACTATTTCTAATTACTACTGAACATACTCTGAAAATCACACTAAAACCTCACTAAATTCGTTACTTTCCAAATAGTAATTATAGAGTTTTGTTCAGTTTTTTATGCTCTTTCATACGAAAGAGTTGGAATTTAAAAAAAAAAATAATCAAAATTTTATTGATTAATTGCTAATTATTATTAATTATTAATTAATTATTAACTAACTATTAATTATTAATTAACTATTAATTATTAACTAACTATTAATGAATTAATTAACTGCAATATAAGTATAAGTGCTTATTACCAAAACGTAGCCCATTAAATTCTGCGTCGAATAATATATAGAAAACATCTTTCAGATGTTGTGAAATAGCGTAAAAATTAGCTAAATACTAAAAGTGTGCTAAACTTTTTTCCCTACTTTATATTACAGTGTTTAGTATTTTCGTCATTACTCAATGAAAATCAAAACAATTTTTTTACCAAAATGATCAGCAAAAAAAGCTCCACAAAGTCCAATATAAGAGAAAATTTTCAGAGTATCTTTATTATTTGTTTATGCGTAAAAACAAAAATGTACATGCTTCTTTTTGAGCCTTCACTGTATAAAATTCAATAAATCTCAGAAGAGACAAATCCGGGTAACCCTTCTATTATGAAAAAAGATCTTGAACGTCTCATATTTCGAAGAAATTTTGTTTAAAAAACTTTTGTGTAAGATTGTTGAGTTCAATTCTCTATATTCACTAAATTTCAGATCAAAATTCGAGTTTTTCGAAAATTTACCTAGCTAACGAGGGAACATTTTCAAGTGATACCCGCCGTTTCAGCTCATATTGTGCCCAAAAGTAGATCTCGGTAAGACTATAGAAAGTCTAAAAGGGTTTGTGCCATTGCGCCCTTGGAGCCGAGTTATGCCTAATTTACAGGATTTTCGGCCCATTTTAGGGTACTGATCGAAAAATCAAATTACGAAGTTTCCATCTGAAATTTCTAACATAGATAGATATAGTTACACCTAGAATATCCTGAAAATTTCAGCCGAATAGAATATTCCTTTGTCAAGTTATTGCATTTTCAATTAAACTCGACTTTTGTGAAATATCAGTCGCAAATGACTGTTTTTTTGGAGATCCAATATCTCCACATAGGAACATTCTATTCGGCTGAAACTTTCAGGATATTCTAGGTGTAATTATATCTATCTATGTTAGAAATTTCAGATGGAAACTTCGTAATTTGATTTTTCGATCAGTACCCTAAAAAGGGCCGAAAATTCAGTAAATTAGGCATAGCTCGGCTCCAAAGGCGCAATGGCACGAACCCTTTTAGACTTTCTATAGTCTTACCGAGATCTACTTTTGGGCACAATATGAGCTGAAACGGCGGGTATCGCTTGGAAATGTTCTCTCGTAAGTCAAATATCAAGAAGAGTCGAAATCATCTTAACATTTTTATTAGAACACTACATAATGTCTACAGACAAAAACAAAACCATTGAAACCAAAAGAGTCTCTCTGCGATGAGCAAGCGTATTTCTATAAATATCTATTATAATTTGTCAGAAGACCAAAAATTGAAAAACTTATTTCGAAAATATTTTACTTACAATTCATTTTAAATATTTCAATATAGAAAAAAATAATCATTTTCAAATTTCTATATATATAACACAATTGTATTATTTTTTCATAGCAATTCACAAAATGACAGAACGTACATTAGCTGCTTCACCAAATTTCAATAGTAATCAACATCAACAATCTGATATAAACAATCAAACATCTTCACCTTTAATACAAGTAATATAGGAAATCTTTTTGTTTTTTGCTTTTTCTAACTTATTACATCTTTTTTTTTGTTTTTTTTTTATTTAGTCTGTTTCATCTACAGTAGTATCACATAATGGTTCAAATTCAAATCAAAATCATTTATTAGATAGTAATATTTGGTTACCAACATCAACATGGATACAATCATGGAAAGGAAAATTACCATTACAAACAATACTTCGTCTTTTACAAGTACTTGTACCACAAGTTGAAAAAATTTGTATGGATCGTGGTTTAACAGATGAAAGTGAAATAATTAAATTTCTTCAACATGGTACACTTGTTGGTCTTTTACCAGTACCACATCCAATATTAATTCGAAAATATCAACCAAATTCTGGTACAATTATGTGGTTTCGTACATATATGTGGGGTGTTATTTATCTCAGGTAAATGAAATTATAATAAAAACAAAAACTATTATTTTAATTTATGTAGGAATGTTGATCCTCCTATATGGTATGATACTGATGTGAAATTATTTGAAATTCAACGAGTGATAGAACAAGATTAATTGTGATATTATCATTTAACTTTTTTTTCTTTTTGCTCTGTTTTATCGTTGACATTGTCGTATTTTTATTATGCATAACAATTTATTTTATTCTATTTCTTTTTTTTTTGATCTTCTCTAACACTTATTTTAAATTTTGATAAGAAAATATATTATAATTGAAGTTCTTATTATTGTTTTGTTATTCTTACATTTTATTAATAGCTAAGTTTTCTTGTGATTTCACTCTCCGTCTAGAAAAAATTATCATAAAAAAAGCGAATTCTAATGTTAAACTACTTTATTATAATAGTAATATTCTTGAAGATTGAACTGTAGTTAGATTTTATTGGATTATCTTCTATTAATATCAATACTGTAAAAATTATACTTTTTTAGTAAATCTAAAAAAAAAGTTTCTTTGAATATTAAAAAAAAACAAATTTCACTATCATGAAGTCTGTTACTTTTGAAAATCACACTTTTTCTTTTGATAGTTGTTAATGAACTGTTTTCTAATTATCTTTTTTTAATATTCAAATAGTTTTTTTTTTGTCTTAATAATTCTCGACATAAAAGTGTCATTCATCAGTAGTGTTAATTATTTTCTAGGTAGAATTCTTTTCTTTTTTTCAAAGACAAAAACTAGTCAAAACTTCGAACTTATTCTCTTTGCATTCATTTTTATTCTGTATTTGTTTCTATTGTTTTTACAAAAAAAAAATTTTTTATCATTGAGATAATAGTAACACTAAGTATGTATAGTTTACTTAATAAGGAAAGGAGATATGTACTATTTAAATTTAATCCTCTTTTAACAATATATCTGTAGTAGCGAAGATATTTCCCGATCTGGTGTAGTCTATTTCTCTTCTTAGTGTTGAGTTGAGTCTTATATACTATTTTTTTTTCGAGATTTGCACTAAATTATCATCGCTGTATTGATCACCGGCGATGATTAAAATCTTCAAAAAACTGATTTGAAACGTTAGAAATTTTTAAACATCCAAGATACAATTTTTTTATGTTGCTGCGGTGGTCGCTTGACTGATCGGCTTACATATTTAGATTTCGACCCATTATTAAAGACAAAAACTAAATTAGTATTGTTTTTTACTCTTTTATCTATCAAATATCTCTCGATTTCGTTTCTAAGATGAGTGTAATTATTTTCTTCATACATTTTATATTACTCTAAATCAAAAAAATGGACAATTACAATAATCATATCTGTCGAATAGATTTGACATTAAAATATGACAATAATACGGCATTTTTATAGTGCAATTGAATCACTAAAATAAGAAACATATCTTCATACGAATAGATAGAATTAATTTAATCTATTATTGATTAAAAGTTAGTTATTTCAACAAGATACAAGAAATGTCTAATGTACCATTTACTAATTATGTAACAGTACACATTAGTTGTATGCTTAAGATGATGACGAATAAATCAAAAAGAATATCTAAATATGTTATTACATATTATCAAAAATCAATTGGAAAAATCTTTCTCTTACTATCGCTGATTTTGACTGTGTTATATACTAGTATTATTTTGGCATATGATAAAAATGAATGACTAATTTCATTTCATAAAAACAAGCATTAGAAATTTTTTTTCACAAAATTGATTCAATGCACAATTCGATGAGTGATTATTTAAGAGCACTTACATTTTATAAACATGTACTAAAGAACATAGTACAATATTTAACTATATCAAAATAACCTTGAATTATGAAGAAAAAAAAAAAAGAAAACAAATTATAGTTGATATTTATTTGCTTGAAGAAATACATATGTAAAATAGAAATAACGGATTATTTTCTATTCGAAAAAGATTCATGTCTCATATTGTCAAAAAAGACCTTGACGATACATTTAATATTTCGACAAAACGTTTCCTTGTATCGGATATATAATCATTCCACAAGTCGGTAAAAGCTAAAAGGATTTCCTTTGTTAATGAAAAATTAGTTTTTTTTTTATTCTAATGTAACATGTGTTCCTTGTATGAACAAAAGAAATAGTGATGTAAGAAGAAAAAATTTGTCGGAAGATAAGGTCTCATTACTTTGACCATATGTGTAGAGTAATAGGCGGAATTCCTCTAGTCAAGCTTCTAGACAGACTCAGATCTTTTTTTTTTAAGTACAAATCAATTATTGGTAGCGAGGAAAGGTTGACCTTCTTAACCTCTGTCTGTTGATATCACTATGTAATTGAATAAGAAAAAAACCAAACAAAGATATTTTATGTTGGTTAATATTTTTCAAGGTCATCTTCAATCTAAATTATAATTTTTCTAATTGAAGAATTTGTTTTATTAACATTCAAGTTTAATAACATATGAAAAAAAATTTGATGTAAATTAATAAATATGAAAATAATAATTCCGTTTTATTTTATTTAATAACGATCATATTACAATGTCCGAAACAAGTACTATAGGATATCATGTTTCTACAATAGTCATATCAATAGCAAAACTATTGATACGACTCATTGAATGATAACCTTTGAGATATTTTATTGTATGTTCAATTAATTTTTTTTTTTCTATTTGCATATAATGTTAGTATGTAATTTGATACAATAAGTTTGAAGTCGATGAGAAGAACAATCAATAACATATTCATGTGCATGCATAAACACAATCTAGCACGAGTTCTTTTTTTTTTGATTTCAATGACTTTAGTAACCAAAAAAAAATGTAAAAGAAAAAGCAACCTTATGAAAGAAAGAATAAAAATGAAAGTTATTTGAAATTAAAATAACAAAAAAAGAAAGCACTTATTCAATAATTATTATAATTATATAATTATGTAGCTAAAAAAAGAAAAACTTACAAATATACGTTTATGTTGAATCATCGATAATTTTTCTGTTTATTAATCATCATAAATATATAAAAAATTTAGAAAATATTTTATCTTTCGATTACTAAATGCTTTCGTATAATATTGATGATAGAAAGATAGTTTTAAAAAGTAATAGAAAATGTCTTTGTATTAGAGAATGTACTTATTTTTAAAGTTAATTCAATCTCAATACAATGTTAAATAATAATAATAATTTCATATAGTTAAAATGATTCCATCAAATCAGAACACTTGTAAACAAGGGTGTGAATGTGCACGTAGGTCTTCTCTTCATTTACTCATACTCACGTCTACATCGTCTCTGTTCTCACTTTTTAGTTTATTTTGTGTAATCTTTTTGTTTCATCTACTTTTGTAAAAGTATGCATATTATTTCTTCACTACAAAACATTGCATATACTATCGACTTTTGATTAATTATGTTCGTAAGTTTTGTTTCGACGATCATTAGTTACACTCATTCTTTTTGAATATTTATCCTATATATTCATATATATATATGGTAAGTATTATCGCATAATATGTTCTATAGGTTTGGTCATTGAAATGAAGATCAACAAAGTGTAAATCACTGAATTTTAGCAAAGAATATACCGGCTCAAAAAAGCTATAGAAGCGGACTTGTTTGTTTGATAATACTTCTAGATTGTGCTTCAATGCGTCTTTAAGTAGAATTCTATCATTTGCAGGGAGAAGGAAGACTGAGTTTACGTTCAGTTGCGTTGCTAATATTTAAGTTAAGATGAAATAGGATAAGTGTGAGCACTTGGCAATAGTAACAGCTAACAATCTGTGTTTCTACGTAATTGAAGGAGTAGAATTCTGGACATCTTTTTTGTTCGATTCTATGTAAGACAAAATTTTTTTAAATTTCATTTTCTTTGTAAATAATTCATGAAAATGATATTTCCTTTCAAAAAAGATTTATGAACAAACTAAAAAATAGTTTTCTCTAATCTGAGTGATTAGATGCTCGATATGGCTTGCTTAACATTGAGATATTAGAAGATAATTATTTGAATAATAATTCAAACTAAAGATTCGAATTTTTTTCTATTAGAATTACATGTCAAAATAAAAATGATATCGAAAAGAAAATTATTCTCATGTCGTTTTTTTTTGCGAAGACGACAATAGTTATCATTATCATCATTGTCGAATTATTGAGCTAATACCTATCATTCTTTCATTCTGACGTGAACTTTAATCATGATTTACTTTGTCAATATATGACAAACCTATTTACATAGTCGCAAGTAGTTTCTCATAATATTTCAAACTGGAATCAAGTTTCCAGTGTTTTATTTAACCCTAAGATTTCAGGTATCAATAGATTGAATATCAATATCAATATATATAAATATCTATGTGAATAAACATAGTCCTTTTGTTATAAAAAAATTTCAGTTCGTATCTTTTTTTTTTTTTTTTTATATACTGATCTTCATTTTAACTTTGTTTCTCTTACACATAGGAAAGAGAGAGAAAAAAAAAACAGGAGTAACAATAAAAACAAAACATGCAAAAACAGAAAATCGTTTCATTTGTCAGATGTATTTGTTTTTTTTCAAAGTGCATCAACCCTTCACTTCGAACTACTTGAAATTCGTTAAAAGAAAACAGTTGCATTTCGTTATCGGCATCGTTAAATTTCATCTTGTTTTGTTATTATTACTATTTCATTTATTTTTTTTTCTTCTTCTTCTTCGTCTTTTTTTTCTTGCAACTTTATTTACTCATAAAAGTTCGTTTTTTGTTGTTTTTTTTTTTCTTCTTCTCTTTATATACATTATTTTTATTGACATATCATCATCATCATCATCTTCATCATCACCCAAAATTTGTCTCGTCTAACAATGTAATATTATTGTTTTTATTCACCATTACTTTCATCTAATGAATACAAAAATGTAGTCCTTATTTGATAGACGAATTATCACACACAATTGCTTGTCTATGTCTATGTCTATTGATAAAATAAAGATGATAATGAGAGACAGAAAGAAATAAAATAATGTTGACCATGTATCAATGGTTAATCAAGCATAGGTCTTCAATTGTCGTTTAAAAATATTTTTACATAATCATCATATGTAAATATATGTCATTTTCGATGAATATTATTCATATT